TTTTTTTTAAGTAGTAATTTGTACACTATGTAGCACACATGTAAATTTCTTTATAACAATAATCTTTTCATGCTTCATGTTTTTCAACTATTCTGTATTTTTTTTGTTTTCCTATTCTTCTTGTAACAGGAATTACATCAGCTTTTCTGCTCTGTTTTAAATTTCTTTTGTTAGTTTCTTTCTGCACTTGACAATGATGATGATCTCAATTCTCAATTGTTGTTATGCTAATTTGGATTTTCCCACGTAAAGTGATAATGATAATTTTGGTGCAAATTTAGTTGGGTTGAAATTAAAAATATTAAAATAAGATGAAATAGAAATTTGGATGGGTCTTGACCTACTCAAGGTTATTTTGGATTTAAGTAGGCTTAAAAATGGATTGCGTCTTAACCAGTTCAATTCGATCCTCTTAATCTCAATAATTTTAATATATTTGTATTTAAGTTTTTTGACCACAACTTGAAGTTTAACTCGGTGGATAGATAAATCATATAAAAGATATAAAATCGATAGTAATTAAATGTAGGAACATATATCAATGTAAATAAAGAATCTTAAAATTGATTGAAATTAGAGATAGATTGGATTTAATTGAGTATTCTCTTAAACTGGGTTAATGATTGAATAAATTGAAATTAAACTCTATTGAAATTATCTTGAGTCCAATCTTTAAAATTTTGAACGAATAGAACTAACTATCTTAATTGGCTCATTTTAACACCTATAAGGATGATAATTATCCATGTTCAAGTGGAAACTTTTCTCTCCTCATCAGGTGCGGCTCAACCTAATCTGTTGCGTGCCAACTTGTACTTTGACGATAAGACTTTATAGTTTTTCTTAATTTATTAAAAAAAAATATTTTTTTTAATATATCACAAGTTATGCCTTGAATTACAATAAACAATAAGACTTTACTCATGGTAAAATCTTAATAAATTAATATAGTTGGTATCATACAATATTATTATATTTTTAGAGATATTATTTAACCGATAAATTAATAATGTTTTGAGATTCAGCCTTATGATGCTAGAATAATAAGAGATTTCAAGATGTATTATCGTAATTATATTAGAATATTAAAAGGCTTATGAATTGAGACAAACTGATCCATGAAAGATTAATATTTTGTATGCTATCAATTTCACAATGCCGGCTAGGACGACAATTATAATGTTTATCAAGAGACAATAACAAATTATTTTTGACAAGGCTGTAAAATTTGCTTGAAGGATGAAATCTCAGAGAATTTGAATGAACCCACTTGTGAAAACATCATTCATGAATTTGAGGTCATGATTAATGATCTCAATTATCAGAATAAAATAGACGTCAATAACTTATTGAATTACCATAGGAAAATGATACATGTTTAGAGGCTCGGAACTTAGAAGAAATTGTGAAACTCATAAAAAATAACGTTGATGATGAAATTGTGTTGGTTCTAAAGTGTGAACAGGAAATGAAGGATTATAACTCTCCTGAAGGGTTGTGACTTTGTCAAAAGGTTGTGACCTTTATGAAAAGTTGTGTCTTTTCTAAATGGTTGCGACTGTTTGAAAGGCTATGTCTTTTCTAACGGCTTGTGACCTTTCTAAAGTATGGTCTTATTTCCAAAGAATTGTGAGTTTTACCTTTTATTGACTATAAATAGAGAGGTTTTCTCTCATGTTTCTGCATCGAATTCTTCCCTTCTTATGCAAACATTTCTTACAAAATAAAATTGATCGATCATGCCAGTATATATGATTCGTTGGTTCTGTGGATTCGGATAGTTCGTTGTGTTTTTCTTTTTATTTTTTAAATTTTCTGATTTGCTAATCTAAATACAGGAGTAACAAGCTTAAGAAATTTAGTATTGATGATATTTTCTGTAGTAAGGAAATTACTTTTATTTTCTGTTGTTCTTTTTGTTGGAAAGAAGATGAAGAAAAAGAAAATTATTTTATAATATGATAAAAGAGATTTGAGATGAATTAGTACTACTTTAATATGTTCGAGTATATTTTGTGTAGTAAATTTTTCTTAGATAGATAAGATTAATCTTATTTTCTTTCCAAGTGCACTCAAGTATTTCATCCCTTCAGTTTTTTTTTCAATAAGAAAGTTATTTTGTTCATAAAGGCTTAGATGGACACTTTAATGAACATATGTTGTCTCCTAACAATATTTGAACATGAGTTTAGTTTCTCCTTGAAATCCAATGTCTTCTAAGGAAAATTGAAATATGATGAACATTGAGAAAGAAAGAAATAATTTGCAAGAAAAGTGTCTTGCATGGAATCATTGCTGATAGATAGAATATGACTCATGAGAGGAATAATCAGGTTCTATTTTTGTTTCCCTTGATTATTATTTTTTCTATCCTTTTTATTAAATTATGAGAATTATTTCATAAATGTTAGGATAGATTCTCATTATGTGATGAGCTCAAAATACATCTTTATTATTAATAATATATATTTTGTTTATAGAAATGAAAGAACCTTTTGTAGTTTTCTACTCCATGTGAAATTTGATTGTGTCTCACTTTTGAAGACTAAAATCTTCTGTTTTTTTAACTCCATTTGTATGAAGAATATAAGAACTTCATGAACAAATCAAATTGTGCATTGGTTCAAAGAATATAGAATCTTCACCAACTTGTTAAATACTCTATTTGAATGAATATTCTAACTTGAAGAGTACAAAATCTTTGTCAGGAATACTAAGGCTAAAGGATTCAAAAAAAATACAATTTTCTTCATTAGCTAGAAACAATGTTGTATTTGAGGTTTCTGGAGATTAAAACTTTTTTGATTTGTTACTCTTTGTGAATGTGAAAAGAACTTCATAAGAATTCGAGATTCATTTGGTTAATTAACGATTAGAAGAATATAAAAAGTTCATCGTTAAACTAGAAACAAGTTGTATAGAGATTGGATCTTTATTGGTAGTATTTTAAATACTAAGTGGTATGTCTAATTGTGATAGAAAGGGAAAAAAACACTAGTGACATAAAATTATTGATTTTTGTGCATGAAATGGGTGTTAATTTGAAAGCATGAAAAAAAATGCGAAAAATATTTCAAATATTTGAAAAATATTTTTGAGAACATATTTAAAATGTTTGGGTTCTTTAGTACTTGTAATAAAGAAAAAATTAGACTTACTACTAATCAAAATTTGAATAACAAGATATGAAATATAATGATATTCTTGTATTATGTTAGACCCATAAAATTTTTGGAGTATATTTAATATTGTGGTCGTTGAGTCTCACTTTACTAGTATATATGATATGACTATTATAAAATCACAAAATTATACTACTCGTTCGAAATAATTGTTTTATTTGATGAAAAAGTGTCACTTAAAATATTGTGACTTTTCATGAAAAATATGTCTATTAAAATAAATTTATTTGTATAGACATGAACATTGGTGAAAGTGATCTTTTATGTTTGTGTTGTAAAACATTTGAATCATATAGCACTTATTGGACCTATAAGACTATGGTCATGGGTAATTTCTTTAACAAATTGAATGTTATGGAAAGGTCCTTCTGAAAAGGACATCTGACAAGATATTGATTTTGAAACAATGTTTTTATTTGACAAAGTTATAAAAAAGTAAAGAACAAAATATTTGTAAGAAAAAGTTATCGCATAGAAGATCTTTTCAAAACAAGTATTTCTGCTTGTTCTTACTTGCTTGAATCAAATTGTTTGTGACTTGAGCACTTTCAGACATGTCAATTACAAAACCTTAAAAAAACTGATCAACTTAGAAGTGTTGTCTAACTTCTAGTGCAATAAATCAAAATGTCAAGTATGTGTTGTTGAAAGAAATTTTAATTCCTTAGAATTGATTTACACTGACATTTGTGATACAAAGTTAACACCATCTCGTAGTAAAAAAAAATGTTACATAGATTTTATTGATAATTGCACTATATATTGTTATGTCTATTTGTTGAATGATAAGGATGAAGCAAATGAAAAATATAGGTAATATAAAACTGAAGTTGAAATTCAGTTAGATAAAAAGATTGTCATGATTAGAAATTGTAGATGTGGAGAATATGAATATTCTTTTACATTAAATATATTTGGAAAATGGAATCATCCATTATATTACTGCACATACTCACCTCAATCTAATAAAATTGTTGACAAGGAAAAAACAAACTTTAAAGGAAATGTTGAATGTCCTACTTATAAGTCCAGGTTTACCACAAAATTTGTGGGGGAATGCTATCATTATAGCAAAAGAGAACAAAAAATATTGTATTTTCAGAAAGAGAGAAACAAAAAGTTTTATTTGTTAGTAAAGGGAGCAACGAATAGAAAACTTTTGTTTGTTAAGAAAGGGAACAACAAAAAGTTTTATTTGTTCAGACTGTGTTGTATTCTGGTAGAAAATTGTTTGTCGTCTCTTAAAATATATACAAGTAATAACTCCTGAAAGACAGTGATCTAACAATTTCCAATATAGTATGAGAAATCAAAATAGGACCTAAGACAATGGATTGTATGTTCATTAGATAAGCTAAAAATAGTCACTACTAAAAGTAAATAGTGTTTAGCGACGAATATTAGTGACAACATATTTTTTTCACTAAATAACAGCAGATCAGCAGCGACATAGCCATTCTGTTGCAAAAATTACTAATAATTTTTTGAGTTACACAATAGCGACAGACTGGCGACGAAATATCTTTTTGGCGCTATAAAATAGCGCGAAATTTTGGCGCCCTAATTTTCACTACGAATTTTGCAACAAAGTGGGTGTGACGAAATTTATTAATTTTTTGCAACATTGTGACGGAAAATCATTGCTAGATTAATAAATATATTTTATGAATTTTAAATTATACCGTGACGAAATTTTCTGTCGCTAAAATCTATTCTAAATAAGTAATTTTTTAGTAGCAATGGATGTCATAATCCGTCGTTATGTTTGTCGCAAATATTTTTTAACTTAGTTGGAACTTTATTAACTCATCTCAAAACAAAAAGGGAAGATCAAAACACTTTTCCTAAAAAAATAGGGTTTTCTTCCCCAGGTGAACTCCCATTTTTCCTCAGGTGAACTCTCATCACAGCTTCTATCTTCTTCATCCTCATTCTAGGGATGTTCTCACATTTCTATTGTGTCATGTGAAAGCAATTTCTCTTTGTTCATATATGTCCATCTCCTCCATGGAAGGCATGGTGGTTCCGTGTTTCTCTTGCCGAGATTTATGGTTGTCAGGATGCATACCTCTTGAGAAATCCTTGAAAGGGGGTGGAAGTGGTATTTGTAAGAGAAAATCAAATCGTTTTCGTTTTAATTGAAATTCTTACCATTGGAGATGGAGTTTTGTTTAGTGATACTTTTTACAAAATATACTTATGTTCATCTCCTCTATATATATAAATATTTCATTTTTTGGGGTGCTTTGTTAGATTTGGATTAATATGGTGCTTATGGTATGGGTGTTATTTGTACAAGGTTTAGTTTTTAGATATATTATTTTAATACCCAGGTGGAAAATTGTAGATGTTGTATTTCTTGGATGAAAACTTGTTGTATCTTTGTTGATGCTGAAGTTTTGATAGATTATGTATCATCTGAGAAAACTCTATATGTCTTGTGCTAAGTTGTGGATTTATGTGTTCTTATTTTGTCTCTTTTGGTTCATGAATCAATCGATAATGTCTCAACCCTAATTTTGAAACTAGTTGGTGTCAACTATGTAAATCGTTGGTAATCGTTACAGAATTTGTCGTAGTTTAACTATAGTAACACTATTTCCAACATAAGAATCAACCCACTGCAATCCTTTGCTTTATGATATGCTTGTATAGACAAAGTTTTCTGTTGATCGTATTAATTAAACAATGTAGAAGGTGTTGAAAATACCGATTTAGGTGTTTGGGATTTAAATTGTGGTTATGATTGAATTTTTCCTCTGTCTCAGCTTTCCGTCTCTGAAGAAAGACATTGTCATACAATGTATGTGAAACTAGAAGCACATTGACATCCTGTAAGTGTTCTATTTCTCCTTTTTCTTTTTCTTTCTGTCTTCATCCTTCTTACTGTTCCCATTTTAAGATCTCATGAAAAGATTTTCTGTTGAAGTTAGAAAAGAAAAAATATTGCCTCAACTATCTCAAATAAGAAATTAATTTATTTTGAAAGAATAGGGTTTTTAATGTTAATTCTTATGAGAAATATTTATTTTTATACTACTAGTTGTGTACTATCATTTAACAATTAATTTTCTGTTGTGTGATACTACTATTTAGAGTCATTGTTGGGGAAAGTAGATGCTACAAAGACTTGGTGAAATTCTCTCATTAGGAATGAATATTTTTGATATTTTTGGTGAGGGTTAAGTTTCTTGTAAACTTATTTGCTGGTTCAGTAATGGTGACACACTAGATTAATGCATGTTGTTAGAGGTTTTGTTTGGAAGTGTATGAAGGTAATGGTTTAAAAGAAAGCTTCATGATTTAATAATCTAGTTCTCCAGTTATTGTATAAGAATATTATAACTTGTACACTATAAAAAAGTTGGTTCGAATGAGGTATATCATTCTTTTTTCTGTTAATTCATTATATTTGAATAATTGAGGTATCAAAAGGAGGCGAGACTCTAAATCGACGTGGTCTTTTAAGAACAGAACAGAAGAAGCATGGAACTATTTAGACCATACCAACTTATAATGAAGGTTTAATTTTTATACGAAGCGCTTTTTATTATGGTTTGATACTTTTTCATCAGATTGTGGATGATTGTGAGATAAGAAAACTTCTGATTTAGAGATCCCATAAGTTTTTTGTAAAAAGAATTTTTTTGAAAAATTTGATTGAAATGTATCTAACTGGAGTGGATTGATTGGCTAGTTTTGAAGGGCTCCTAATTCACCACTCACTTCATAAGTGTTTATGAAAGTCAGTACAACAACTCATTTATATTATGTGTATAGTTGTTACTTGTTTTGTTATTGTTTCATGTTCTTGATAATAAACAAGACAAGTTGATGTTATTGCTATATGTTCTTGTTAATAACCAAGACAATCTGATGTTAAAATAATAGTGATGCTTTGGATGCTTAGGAAATCTCCACATTCACTGAATGTTATATATATATGGTAACTGAATGTTTCATTTGAATGAGAGGTATTTTTTGTGATGCTTTGGATGCCTAGAAAATATCCACATTCACCTTTTCCCCTCTTTGAGACACTGTCTTTTAATTATCATTGATGGACAATCCAAAGAGAGTTTGTGTTCTCTTCCTTGCTACAGGAAAACTGAAACAAATGTTATGCTTTGTGGTCATTTTACATTAGTGTTTTACATACAAGCTTTGATGAAAGAATGTAAGCATCAGGTCTAGGTGCTTTATTAGAAACACATAATCTAATGGTATTCAACTTTTAAGACTCTTAAAAGACTTCTCCAGTTTCCTAATATTCTTTTTGGTGATTGTATTCAAATTTTCAGAATCTATTATAGATTTCTGAAGCTCATTCTTTGTGTAAATCTTCTAACCAAACTCAATGATAATTATTTCACTTTTTTGTATGCAGGCATAAGTTTTTTAACTTGTTCTACAAGTTTTTTTAGTGGTATTTTTAATATTTCGTCACACTTCAGTGAGGTAGCTTAGTTATATTTATACTAGTGATAAATGTTTGGCTCTAGTTTCTGTTGTTGTAATATTTTTTTCATCTACTTTAACTAGCATATTCTCTATCCATGTTCTATTTGTTACATGTTTGTTTCTTTGGTACCTTCTGTATGTAGTGAATAACTGCTGCAAGCATTGTCAACAAAGAATACTACTCTCATCACATTGTGAAAAACATTGGACTTGCTTTTTCTTTTTGTGATACTAGTCTCCTTTCATTTTTATACAACATGATATTATGTGGGTTTGCCTGTATTTTACATGTTATATAGGTCTGTCAGTATTTTGTTTTGACATTGGATAAGAAGCTCTCATGCCTGTTGTGTATGTAGTTCCACACCACTGAAAGTTATTTGTGTAGACATGATAACACATTTTTCAGGAAGCCAACTGCACTATTATATTTTAAGGAAGCCAACTACATGTTACACTGTTATATTTTTTTTATAGGTGTGGCTCGAGGCAGAGGCTGTGGGAAGTCTTTTGGTAGGAGTAGCCCTACTATTCATGTAAGCATGCCAACTATTATGATACCTACTATAGTTTCTCCTCAACAAGGTGGTACCCCAATCGTTGAAATATCAGCTCAATGTACCACCCCAACTATCTCTGAGACACCTCTATCTATACCAAATCAAAGCAATCTCATATTTCAGGGTCTGTCTCTCAGAGCATCCCAACAGATTGTAGTAATCCAATTGTTGAAGGGGATCTATCTACTCAAAGCAACTCAAGAGGTCGTACAAACACAATTGTTGATGTTGATTCTAGTAATAGCTACTCACGAACACTTATAGATAAGTTTGAAAAGGGTATTCAAGGTTATTTTTGATAATTCTAGGTATTACTTTACATCATACATAAGTTTGAAAAGTGTATTCATACTAATAGATAATTGATATATTACTTTCAAAATTTATTTCAGAAAAAATTCTATTGGAATGTTTCTATTAGTGAAAGTGCAGTGAAGAGACTGATTAGTCAAGACGGATATAAAATACAGAAATTTTATTTCTACAATAAAAAGGGGAGGAGTTAGGCCAGGTTATGCACCTGAGCATTTTTTGAAAAAAATGGAGACAACTTTGGGAAGTGATGAGTCTATTAAAAAGTCAAAAACAAATGTAAAAAATCGGTGTGGTGGTCATGAAGTTGTTGTTGCAACTCACACAGGTGGCTCCATCTCAATTCGATGACATCGCAAGAAACTTGTTACTATATATTTCATAAATTATATATGTAACATCTTTAAGTTGTATGATATATATATATATATATATATATATATATATATACATATATATATATATATATATATACACACACACACACACACAAAATATTTTTGTATCTAAAAAGTATTTTCTTTTGTAAAGGCTATTGAAAAGGGACGAGATACAACATCGAGCGAGTTACATTTGCATGTCTATATGCATGGTCATGATGATAAATCTTTTATCGTCAAAAGCTCTCAAATTGTCCATGTAAGTTTGAATCTGGGAAACCTATCAGAAGATATACATGTCATTTCTTATTAGAAGGGAAAACTTGGCTTAAAATGTTGTTGAAAGTAGTATACAAAAATATGGTTGGTTTATACTCTTTGGATTTCTACCCTCTTTTTCCTGGTTCTCAGGTTGTTGTTCCTTTTTCTGTTCCGGAAGTGTTTGCTTCATTTTTGTTTCTTTTCTCAGCTTCATGCTCCTTTCTCATATGGTATTCCTCATATATCTTCTTGATTGTGCATACATCTACCAAGTGTCCATGATGCTTGCAATACATACAATAGTCCGATTCATTGCACGATCATTGACCAAACACTACTAGAAATTTGGTCTACTGGCACGGTTCACCTACCGCTGCAATAGACGTTACTACCGTAGCCATAGGTCTAAGGCTACGATTACGTCAACCGCTACAACAGATCACGTAACAATAGCTCTGTTGCTACAATTTTGTGTGACGGGTCATATAACTGTAGCCATACGTTGACCTATTTCCACGGTTCTCATTTGAATTAATTGCCAACGGTTATGGCCGTATTGGTACGTTTTGAACCGTCGTAACAGAGGTTTATGCATCAGTTCTGTTAAGGTTATGGTACAATTTTTATTTCGATTCAACACACCGTTTCACTCTATTGCGATGGTTGTTATAGGGTATTACAATACTTTTAGACAATTGTAGAACTGTTGCTTAATGCCTATTGCAACGGTTATTGCCTGTTATTTGCAATAATTCTAAAGCAATATTAGTAAGCTATATATACCTGCTATATACTAAATCATTCACGAGAACAAATTTTATAACATAAAAATACACATAAATCATTAACGATAATAAATATTCATTACCAAATTAGAATTCAAGATCCGTGATTCTAATATCAATAAAAGTAAAATATACAAATCTTTTTAAAGCATTCAAAAAAGGTGAAACACATGCACCACACAATTTTCAATATTCAAAATATATATGATTTATAGAACATCAATAAAGTTTACATTAATACTTCAGCTCCTATGTCAAGTCTTCACTACTGCTTTCATCGTCTTCTTCGATTTCATCACCTACATACAATCAGGAAAAAAATATAAATAATTTAGCGAACCTCAAATCTTGGAAATTGACAAGTAAACATGTAGTTACAACCATGCATTAGCTTTTAGAATTGTTCAACCCTAAAACTTGGAAATCAAGTACATGCCAATAACATTCAACTGCTGCATTCAAACTTCTACAAGCAGCAGCAGAAACAAGAGACCAGACTACATGCAGTAACATGCATTAGCTACTATGTTGGCTCGACTAAACATAATCGTGAAGCTAGGATTCAACACTATCATACTACAAGAAACCAGCAGCATAAACAAGAGACCAGACTACAAGCAGCAGAAACAACACTATCATGATTCAACACTATCATGCTACAAGAGACATGTTTAATTAGCATAAACAAGAAACCACAAGAAACCAGACTACAAGCAGCAAGTGTCAAAAAAATCATGAATCTAACAACTGGTCCTCTACTAGTCTACAAGCAGCACCAGAAAACTGATGACCAGACAACAAGCAGCAACTCAGACATTAGACTATCAGAGAACAAGCAGCAACTCAGACATTCAACTCATGAATCAGGCATTTACTGATCCTCTGCCTAACTTTTCCCCAACTTCCTAGATCAATAGCATACTTTTCCGTTCTAATCCTATAACAAGTAGCAACAACAAATAATAATCAAAACATAGAATTAGCGACACCAACCTTGTTCATCCCCTTTAACAGAAGTAGATTCTCTTGGTGAAGGAGTCGACAATGCTGCCAATATGTTAGGATCAATTAATCGCGCATGCTTAAGTTGTTCAATAACATTTGCAATAACTTCTTACCGCACAATTTTCTTTTGTTCCTCCATTTGTATCTCCATTTTCTGTATCCTTTCTTGCATTTGCTGCATTCCATCAGTTGTTGCACTTAAATTTGATTCTGAATTGCCAACTTTTTTTTCAAACTAGTCTTTGTAACTCCTGCGCCATGTAGTCTTAGACATCTTGGATGTTCAGGACCCATGACGCTTGAAAATGCATCAACATACTCACCATTTATGCTTATTTGATTTTAAATTTACTCTATTTCAGCCTACCAAAACATATCCAACAAACACAATATGAAATTAATAATTGATCTAAATACAAAAAATTAAAAATAGACAGTACACATACAATTTTACTAGTAGTATCTTCATTTGAAGACTTGTACAAATGCCCGAGTTTTCTTGTTCTTGTAACCACAAAGAGATCCTTAGATGATATTGTCTCCTTATCTTTCTCCTAGTCATATTGAAATGTATATAAAAAATACACTTACACTGGAATAAAAAGGCCCAAAATTTTATCAAAAAAATAATATATAAGAGAACACACCAGCTTATTACGAACTAAAGCGAAACTCTTTTTGTCAGCAGTGTGTGGATTCATCAGTTTTTTTTCAATAGTTTGCATTTGTTTCACACATTTTCTGCAAAGAAAAAATGAAACAATAATGTTAATGTAGGTAAGAACTGCATTTTATGCATTTGTTTCAGACAACATAAAGCTGCAATTTGCCACAAATCATCTAGGTAAGAACTGCTTGTTAATGCGTGTTTCTGCGCAGAGAAGAGAACTTGTAATAGTTCCATCATCTTATTTATTCCAGTTACAAAATGCACATGTAAAAGACCATTTTTTTCATCTTCTTTATTGTGTTTACAAGTCATTTTCTTTTGACAACTTTGTTGTTAGAGAAGATGAAGGAGAAGACCAACTATATTAGATGAAATATCCAAACATGTTAGACACAGAGATGCTACTGGAAACAGAGGTACTATTTTATCTAATAGCCTTGAAGTGTTAGGGGTCACTAGGTAGGAAGAAGCTAGAAAGGGAGGAAAAATCAGGAGGTATAATACAAATGCTACTTATTCAGAAAAAATTGAGATTTTGAACTACATTTTTACCTTGAATTTTTCAGTATTCCAATATTAGAGAAGCTCTCTAAATTGACATTCTGGAATATGATCAGGCTTTTTTGCCATTCGAACTGCATTAGTGTCATATGCATCATTTATTTCATCTTCAAATCACTTCTATGTCTTCTCCAAGCATCTCGAATTGTTACCATAGTCCAATTGTACGCAGCTTCAGGAATAATGTATTTCTCCTGTAATTTAAAGTCATTCACATAGCCAATAGATGTAAAATACTTTTACAAATAATTAATTATTGTAAACTACATACCTTGGTATAATCCCATAAATTCTTTTTAGTGTCCATGTTCCTCCAATCCAATATATCAAATAGGCAAATAGTCGCATTTCTAGCCAATGTTCCTAGTAAGCTACTTAGCTCTATGACAACATCATCAGTAGGACCAACAGGTTGATTTGATTGTTCAGTATGATCAACTTACGCTCTTTTCAGGCATGAACATCATGCATTTGCGCTCTACCTCTTTTATTTGGACTAGAAACATCTTCAGCTATAAGAAAATACAAGAAATATAATTAAAAATTATGGATACATTTAATAGGTTTGTAAACTTATATGTTACCTTGTTCTTCAGGTTGATCATTTGTTTGAGGAGTGACAGAATTCATTTGCATATGCTGCTCAAGATAAAAAAAAACATAAACATGAAAAAACAGAATGTATTCGAACAAGTCCACAAGATCCTTGTCAGTCATCAACTTCCATCCAATCCCAATCAGTATCATCAAAGTCATCCTCCTCCTCTTCCGATGTTTCCATAGCTTCATCTTGTGAATGTTGTGCAAGGGAAGGAGCATCGATGATATCAACAGGAAGATCTTCTCTTGACCATCTAACATCTACATCAAGTACTCTTTCTGATGGACAAATATCCTCATTAGGCTCTCTCCAAAATGTTTCTTCAATATTAGGACAATTCTTTTCCTCCAAATCATACAAATCCACAGGGACTTTGTTTCTTGCATAATAAACATTTTTCTCAACTGGGTCTTCCACATAAAAAAACTTGATGCACTTGAGATGCTAGTACAAAAGGATCATTTGTACTACATTTTTTGTTGAAATATACCCGAGTCAATCCATATTCATCGACTTCATTATGAAACCAATCACAATTAAAAAGTACAACACTAAAGCAACCCCAATAATCAATCTCAATGATATCCTAAATAATTCCATAATAGAGAACCATTCCATCAATAGGATTTTGGTCCCTCGCACTAGCAAAACTATCCGTTGTGGCTGACAAAGTCACTCCACTATTCTGAGTTTTGCAAGGGGCATCTCGTGTCTTTGTATGAAATCGATATCCATTAATGAAATATCCAGTATATCTTTTTTCCACAAAGTTAGACCCTTTATCTAGCCATTTTAAATGA